CACATGAGTCGGATTTCCAGAAATGACCAGTCTTTAAAGAAGATCTAAATTATTTTTTCTGTGGATGCGATCTTGATTTATTTATTCTCCTTCCTTCCCTCTCTTCACATCATGTTCCTCTCTAACTGAAAAATCTCTTCTCACTCTGTACTAGAACAATATATATTATTTTTTAAAATTATTTTAATTATTTTAATTATTATTTTAAATATATATTATATTTAAATATGTACAGTAAAGTTAATTACTTTTCAAACAGTAGTACAAACAGTAAACAATGTTTTTTATTGTATTAATATCTCTACCTTATTTTATCTTTACTTTTACAGCAGTATTTTTTATTTCCTTGTTTTCAATTCAACAAAAACCTTTTGGGCGTAAAGCCCATGTGATGCCCGAAAGATAGGCTGGAAATAAATCCCCAGAGACTGATGTCTATAGAGCAGGGATTTGTTATTTGCAGGGCTGGTGGTGAGGGGGATGTTTCCACCTAATTTGCCCACCTTTGTCAAGTGCTGTGTTACATGTGTGTATATATATATGTGTGTGTGTGTGTGTTTGTGTATTCATATGTATACAGTAAGTATTGCTTAGTGTTACTATATCACTATAACATCATCATATATGTGCTGAAACTAATTTACATAGTATATTTACGTATATTTACATAAATCTCATGGTTATTAGTTCTTTTGCGCTGCACTTGTGCCTCCTCACTTCATCAGGAGTGGGTCATCAGGGGTCTTTGATGAAGGCTTCCAAGGTTTTCCTCACATCTGAACTTTTCAACTTTCTCTTTGGAGCACGCACAGTTATGCTCTTCGTTGTTCTGTCTGGTCCTAAGTGGCCTAAATTCTTTATTTTGTGGTTAATTGCCTTTACATTTGCCAATTTCTCAGTAGTACTATAGTTATCAATCTCTGAAGCTATCCACCTGCTGAGTATGTTCCTCTATTTTGATTAAGCAGCTAGTTAACCATATAGTAGCTATTACATTGTATAGGAAGTAATTTATATCAGGTTATATAGGTATAGAAGGTTATAATTTAGGTTATATTGATATTGGGTTATATAGATATATCAGGTTATATTGATATCTCATAACTCAACCTTAATAAGCACCTTGTGACTTTGACCTAAATCACATGAAGGAAATCCCTTGTTTGCAGGAAATTAAGATCATGCAAATGCTCTTGTTTCACTAAAGGGTTTTTTTATTTAAAACCCAACCTTAAAAGGAGTCTTTGATTTGACTTCTTTGAACTGTCAAGCTCGGTGAAGGGTTGCCATGTGATTTTGGACTTTACTGTTCAATACCATTATTATTTTTAAAGCTTTGTAATTGCCCTTACAATGTAACACCAAACAGGCTTTAGCTCCAGCATTGAGGTGTGTGACGATTCTTGGCACTTCCTGGCATGTATTTTCTTTCCTGTAGCTTGCCTTCATGTTCAAAGAGAAAATCAATAGATGGATTCTTATTGTAGAAAATTAGCCTTTATATGAAATGTTTGAATGTCACTAACATAAGACTGCTATGACAAGGAAGTGCTTAGAGTGGGGTAATCTCTGGATATACTTTCCTTTTTTGCTATGCTCTTCTCTGTTTTCCTGATGTTTCTACAGATATGTTAATCTATTCTGTTGCTGAGGACTTAAAAAAATCAATTCTTTAAGAAAGACAAGGTGCTAACAGCACTGGAACAGACTGGAGGATCTTGATTTCTTCACACAACTCACCTAGTGCAAGCCCTTACTTCTCTGTAGTATTCCCCTTTCCCTTCCCTCTTTTATTAAAAAAGTCACAGTGGGAAAATACTTCTTATGGAATAACTCCTTCAGAGTTTGTTTTTTGATCACCAAAGCAAAAATTAAACTACTCTTTTCAATATTATTATTATTATTATTATTATTATTATTATTACTCCTTCACGTTGCTACAAATTGTTCACTCTTTTTATTAAAACAGGTAGATTGTCTTCTGTGTGCTTGATGTTTTTAATAACTAGTATTTTTTTTTTACCAGAAACTAAACACAGCAAAAGACTGTCCATGTTTTTTTCCAGATTTTTCTCTCTTTTATCCGCTTGCTAGGGCTGTCAGTTCTGGATGGCAGTTTATTTTCATGATTTGTATTTTCCTGTCAAATTATAGAAAATAGAAAAATCAGTTGTTACGACCTTAGTAAGCATCTTCTTGTCATCTGAGTCCACATTTGTTTCCTCTTGTGCTGTTTATCTATAAAAACAATGCAAAACCGTTGCATGCAATGCACATTCTGGCTGCCATTAGAGAAGAAGTTCCCAAGTTTTTCTTGAAAATTAAAAAATTCTGAATAGACATTAATAATATTGTCTTGTGGTGATACTGAATGCTAAAGAAAAGGAAGATAAAAAAAGTATACCAGATAAAACCACCCTGAGAGATATATTTTCCTGTCCCTCTGCCTATTGACAGTGTCTCTGCTAAGGAACCACTGAAATTAAGAGATAATTTTTGTCTCTTACATAATATTTGCTTAAGTTTGCAATGTGCAAAGGACCTAAAGATTTGCTGTCAAATATTATTATTTTCCTTTACTTTGTTCATATAGAAATTCTTCATCTACCTTTTACAGTATCTGCAGCTGCAGATGTATTGAAAAGACTGGGAGCAAAGAGCATTCTCTGTTCTTGCAGGCAGCCATGCAGTATGTTTCATTAACTCAGGAAACTCTCAGAAAAGCTTTTCTGCCCTGTCTCTACTAGAGGGAAGCAAGTAATTCTAGAACTGTGGCTTTCAGAGAATCATAGAATATGCTGAGAAGGGACCCATGTGGATCATCGAAGTCCAACTCCTGGCTCGGCACAGGACATCCCCAAGAGTCACACCGTGTGCCTGAGAGCATTTCCAAATCCTTCTTGAACTCTTGTCAGGCTGGTGCAGTGACCACTTCCCTGGGGAGCCTGTTCCAGTTGCCCAGCCACCACCTGGGTGAAGAACCTTCTCTTGATAGCCAACAAAACAACCCCTGACACAAATCCAGACCATTCCCATGGGTTCTGTCACTGGTCATCAGAGAGGTCAGTGCCTGGCACTCTGCTTTCCCTGGGGAGGAAGCTGTAGACCACTGTATAAATCTTACTCTCATTTCAATCCTAAACATTTATAGCAGGTTTCTTCACTGGTAGTTCACCCATAGCCTGATTTTGAAGATACCCCAGTAAAGGGAGCTACCAAAGGAATTTGTTTGGGCAGGTAAGCTTTCAGGAGGTTCACCTGAGGATGATTTTTGTCAAGGGGTAAAGTTTTTTCTTGCTAGGGATGCTTGTATGGCCTGTTAGAATTACTTTGGGCATACCATGCTGAAGTTGTATCCCCTCACAGGTTTCATCTCTGTTTAAAGAAGAGGTATACTCTTCATATGTTACAAACCTGAGATTTTGTTTCCCTCATATAAGAGGATTTTTTTATCCATCTCTTCCTTGTATCCTGTGAACTGGTTTCACATAGCGCTGTCACACTGATGATGGGAGCTTCAGGTACCATGAAATGGTCACACAGGGGCCTTGTGTACCTTGGGTGGTACTATTCTAGTATCATGTAAGCCTTTTTCTGATGCCTTTTAGAGCAGCCTTTTGCATTTTTTCATTCTGTTGTCATTTTGTTGCCTAGCACTCATTCTGATACGTACTAATATGTCATTCCTACTACTAAAAGGAAATTAGACTCTTTAGCATAAATTAGAAGCCCAGGTGTATCACCTTGTGTTTTATACTGGTGAATTTATCCCAGTTTTGAAAACCAATAGCTGTTAGAATGGTTAAATTCTCCTTGTGTAAAGTCTCTGTATTTCTAACATTGAGCAGCAAAAATAATCTGTACGTACAAATTTTATACTGATTGTTAACAAAATGCTAATGATACTAACCTCTAATAACTCTCCTGCACTCCAGTACTTCGAATTTCAACATTATGTATATTTTTAACTCCCTTTTTAGCAGTTACTTACCCTCTTGACAGTTTTTCTAACAACTTAATTTTCTCCTGCAAAACTAATGATTTTCTATACTTCAAAAGATAGGTGCAGCTATTTGTATACCAGCTCTTTGAAAAATCCATGCATCTTAGAAAAATTTTGCCTGATGTCACTTAACTTTGTGAAATATACATTAGTTTTCTTTTGTTTCTCTTCATAATACTGATATTTTTTCCTAGCTCTGAAGCCTTGATTTTCTGTACGTAAGCACTGTATTTGTTGCTCTACAGTCAGCTCAACAGCACTTTTTGACCACAAAAAGCCTAGCTGTAGCTGTATTTACCTGTGTAAGTTCTTTCAGACTTCTGGACTAGACAGAGTCTACACTTCACACTCTTCCCTTTTGATTGTGCACACTGAAGCTATTTTCATCCTTGCTTCCAGGCTGGTAGTGGTAATTTCCATATCAGTGTACAGCTGTCATCATTGCCATTGAAATGAGAGGAAGAACTATTTGTTCAGTGTTGGCCTTGATGCAAATTCTCACTAAAACAGATTAGAGTTCTGTATCCATACTGAATCAAATTTAAGGGCCTGAATATTGCTACCTGACTATGAGTAGTATCTAAGAAAGTTGCCTTTTTGGAAGTACTTTTGGCACTACTAAATTCTCCTCTATTCATACCATTGTATTTCTTGCAGTGGGATCTGTGCACAGTTTCATATTTTCCTTCTCCCTGACCATTTCAGCTAGTCTAGTAAATAATACTGCTTCCTCCAGCAAAGCTTTCATGGCTCTTTTCTCTGTAGACAACAACCATTTATGGGCATCTCTCTTTTTTCCAGCTAGCAGAAGTACAGGGGCTTCCAGACCATCATAATCATATTTGCTCTGTGTTTTTCTTGACAGATTTATGCTGCCTGCAGGCTTCAGCTGTTTGGGGTTCAAGGCTCAATCAAGGATGTTTTGGCAGAAAAAGTAGCTAGCAATTGAAAAAGGAACTGAATAGTAGTTAGGAACTGATGCCTGAAATATTTCTAAAACTTTTCTGAACCACTGGTGTTTGTTTACTTTTCAGATCCCCCTTTCCCAGAGGTAGAATTTGTTGCAGTTAAAGGTTCTGCACCTTTGCTCAGACTCCGGAAAGCAGAAGATCAAAATGGACCAATCAGGTTTGTCTTTGTGCTCTTCGCCCTTTCAAACAACATTCTGCAGATTCATGTTATGTAGATTAGAACTGTTTTGGGTGGCAGCATTATGTTTTTTAGCAATGGGAAAAAACTTAAGCTGTGCCTCCCAGTCTTTCCCCCCTTAGCAGAGTAATATTTAGCTTCAGGCTTTTTGCTGTTTTCTGGAACAAAATCCTAGCTTGGATAATTGTGAGTTTTCACCACTGGCTTTAAGGTTTGATTTTATTTTTCTTTTCCCTTTATCCACAGTGAGGTTAGTATCCACGGTAGATTTTTATTGATGAATCCAAACACACCTCTACTGATGTGATTGTTCTTTTCCAATGAACTCATGCAGACAATACATTTTTCCTGCCAGAGGAAACATTGAATAACATCATTTATGCATATTCTGAATGTAGCAGTGCATTTCTATCAAAATGTATTTCTAGAGTAAAAGGATTTACCCCTTACTGAGTGCTATTGCTGACAGAAGGAAAAGGTTAACTCAAGTACTGAACAAGGTTAACTCAACACTGAAGTAGAAAATACTTGAAAGCTAGTAACATCTCATAGAGTGGCTGGTGTATCAACCTTCATGAATAGTCTTCCTATGGTTGAATATGATAGACTAAACATTGTTTTGAGAGGTATGAAGATGTATTTGATTTATTTTTTAAAATGGTACCTGTCCTCTCCTCCTTTAAATAGAAAAAGTCTTGTTTCTGTGAACTTACAAGTAATTTTTAGAGAAAATGATATGTCAGAGGTGAACTTCAGTGTGAGGAGGAGGAGGAGGACATAGTCTGAAGTATCACAGTTTTATGTTCTTCTGAGCATAAATAATCATGTAGCAATAACATATATGTGATGAGAAGACCCAGCTCTAAGCTGTGCATTCAGTGCTTTTGATTAAAAATTAAGTGGAACACACTTTATTTTAGTATAAGAAGTGTTCATATTGGACGTTGTTAATACAAAACAGTTAAGAGGCTACAAATAACAAAAACCAGTATGGGTTAATGAATATCTGATGCTTATTTCATTGAAATGAGGGCTAATATTTCCTTTTTTTTTTTGTTTCACTCTAGTCTTTATCAAGTGATTGTGCTTCCTCTGGATTTGCAAAGCACTTTTATTTGTGACTCCTTTGCTGCTACAACTTTCTTTAGTAACACCACTGACATTAAAGGATATGTGGCAGCTGAATTTCGGGCGAAGGATGTTGCTGATAATATGTCAATTGTTCTTGGAGACAGACATTATTATGGGAAGTTTTATAATGCTCCTTTAAAGCTGGGAGAAGAGTATTGTGTTTTTTTGAAAATAATAAGTGAGTGGAATAAGGTAATGGATGTTTTCAAACCTCTTCTTTACACCTCTTGAATGTAATGTTGCTGGGGGAAAAGATGGAAATGTTAGACGGGTATTAAATTTTTTATGACACTTTAAGGCTCTCCTAGTTGACAGAATTAGATTAAATCTGAAGCCCTTTAAATATATCTTATAATTCCTTAATGGTACTTATGTCATTGTAATGTTGAAGCAACTCTGAATGCCAAAGTCAAACAATGGAAAATAATTAAAAATGAATGCCCATCCCTGTTCTCAGTAATTGAAGGTGTCTGTACTGAATTAGAATTTACTAAAAGAGATTAGCATGAGAATTTGAAAATCACTCCTTAGCAATGATGAGTTCACCCAATTTAATTTTTAATTAAATATTTTATAACTAAATATCCCAATTCTCCAAATGACATGGAAAAAAAAATTATTACATGTTGTTACCTTCCAAAAGGCAGTGTCAGCTCCAGCTCCATAGAGAAAGCCTTATGAAAAAAAAAAGTAGATTATTATCATTAATTTTTTATCATTTTAAAGTAAGTTTGTATTTTTAATTAGAAACAAAGTTTCTAAAATGTACATATCATCTACTTTTCCAGTTGTATTTATCTCAGGAGTCAGCTGTTTTAAAATTTTTTATAAGTCTCAGCAGCAGAAAATTTTTCTCCTATGGGACAGGGGATAAGTCTTTGTGTGCAATACAGTTCCTGAATGTCAAATGCAAAAACTGAACTCAGCAACCTCTAATAAAAAAGAAACACCTAAACCTCCCCTTGCCATCAGAATAGAGTTTTTAGGACTTTATGTGTGCATCACAAAGCAAGGAGGCATGCAAAAACTGATCCATGAGTCACTTATAAATAATTGTCTCCAATTTTGAGAGCCTACACAAAAATCTCAGTAAGTTAAAACAGCTTCTTTTAAGAAACAGTGAATAACATCCTCATTTATGCATATTCTGAAGTACTGTTTTCATGGTAGTGTATTACTGTCAAAATGTACTTGTAGAGTAAAAGGATTTACTCTTGCCTCAGTTCAAAGTGAGTGAAATAAAACAAGTGTATGCAATAAGAGGATTCTGGTATCTGCTAATCTATAGTGCAGTAATAGTGCAGTACTATTTAATAATAGTCAGAGAGATTTCTGTAGCAGAGTTGAAGTGGTTTCTGATCCTGAACAAGACTGTTGTTTGTCATAAATTTTTAATTAATTGTGTGAGGGGAAAAGTAGGAAAATTACAATAGAAGACATTTTATTTCATAAATACTGTTATGAACATTGACATCCAAAATACCCTGGAATTTGAACAATGAAGTGTATTTTATAGCAAAATGTGCTCTGTGGAGCAGGATTGTTGATCAGTCAAACGTACACAAGTTTGGCCTCTTTAAGTGCTGCTAAATACATCTTTGAGCTTAATTTATTTATCATGGGTTTTTTTGCATTTGTTTCCCTAGGTCTTAACCGTCAGTATTTTCTAATACCTGGGGTATCTTAACTTATTTTACGCTTGTGGAGGTTTTTGCTGCACAAAGTAGATTCTTGCAGACTTTTCCTGCTGTTTATTAAGCTGCTTCTAACTTACATTAAAAGCATTATTCTTTCCCTCTCTTATGGATTATTTCCTGATCTTTCACTGCTGACATTCACAGACATATTTTCTAGGTCACTGAGTTGATGGATTAACATTACAGTTATTGGTAGAGGTCAGTCTTGCTTGCTACCATTTAAAATGCATCAGCTCCTTAGTGTACACTTTCCTGTATGGCATTTGTTGGTTGATGAAATACACAAAGTTACATGCAACAGTTATGAATCATTACTGGGATTTAAAATGCCAAATTGTTTTGGTTTTTGCAGCTCTGATTCTTTGAAATGGAACTTGGACTGCTGGTTCAAAAGTGTTGGTTTATCATCAGCTGTCATGCCCTTTTATTTTGTGCAATTGCTGGTATTAGAAGGCTAAAAAAAATCGGAATTATGAATAGCAGGTTGTTGGGTTTTGAGTCTTTCTAAAAATGTGCTTACATAATGTGTGTACTACCATAGATAAGTAACTGCATTTGGATTCAAGAGCTCAGTCTTCTTTTAAAAAAATTGATTGCCCCTCAATTCTTAATACCTGTGAAATCAGCATTTCTGAAGTATCTTTTACTTGTTAGCACATTTCCATTTGAATACAGACAAATTAGAAATAGATGTAATAGGCTTCTAACTAATGTTCTCATTATTCCCTTTTATATTCTGGCATCCTTAAGGGTCCCTTCTGTCTCCTTTCATACTAAAAATGGTACATTTGTATCATGCTGCAAAATCATGGCTTGGTTTTGATTTTTATTACCATTATTACTGAATAAAAAATGAACATATTATTGTGTTCATTTTTCCATTATTCATATTTGGAGGTCTTGAGAAGGGTGTATGCTATGAGGTTCTTACTTTCCATTTATTTTTATTTCTCTGAGACCTCTGTAACTTTACTGATTGGCAGGAGATGTCTGATTTTCTGCACACTAGAGTGTGTCATGAGGGTAGCTATTTCAAACTGATGGCACTCACACCAGTGCCCCAGAATCTGGCATTTGATTTTTTTCCCCTTTTTATTTATCTTCCCTCTTCTAAGAAGATTTTCCTTGTCAGTCCTTTGTTTTTTTCATTAACCAGAAAATTCTTTATAAATAATGGGTTTAAGAATCATGGAGATTCCACAATTCAGCATGCAGACACACAGAAGTGAGATTAATCACACAAATGCCTTCATCCTTTTATCCAAATGCTTCAAAACATAACCTTCTTTCTCAAACATACCATTATTCACAGCAACATATGTTACAATATGAAAAATGCATGTATTGTGTATGTATTATGTGAAAGTCTGTGAAAGTCATTTTGCAGGAAGCACTACAAAAATACACTTCACACTAATTACACAATAGATAATAAAACCTAAAATAGAACTTTTTGTGTATTTATGACTATGAATAGCCAGGGGGAAATGCTCTACAGAGACCAAAGTTTACTGTAAAAAAATCAAACCTGCTTAACAAGTGTGCAAAAGCAGACCCTTGATAAATATTTCTCTAACTGTAAGTATTCTATAAAGTTATTAAAAATTCCCAAGCATGTTATCATAACAGAAGAAAATTCTACATCTAGTATCTGTAAAACATACCATCTATTTTAATGTAAATGTTCTGCATAGGAGAGAGTTAACACAGCATATTCAGCCTTATCTTAGCATTTCATAAATGCTGAGTTCTTATCAAAGCAACATCAAAGATCCTTCCATGGATGGAAGGTTGCAAAAAGAAGGGAAGAAAAATGAGCTAAAAACTGGAGCCAGGCTTTCATCAAAGCTCTATGTCTAATCTTATTCTTATAATTTATTATCTTTTAAGACAATATAGAGGCTACTACCAAGGGAATAACAAACTCCATTCCCAATAGTAATTTTTGTCAATGGCTGATCTTTCAGAGGGTGTTAGTAATAATAAATTTCTCTCATGAGAAACAGTGATTTTTATGTTTTCTTTTTTAGGTGAGAACACAGTCCTGTGCTGTTTGGGCACAAATTAAAAGTAAGTCAGTTTTTCCTTCAATAGAAAAGTCTAAGTTGTCATGGCTTTGCTTGGCAGCATAAACTAATAATTGCTATGGGTGTTTCTTTTTTTGCCATTCATGATCTATTGACTTCAAGGATTGAAAACATTAGAGACAGAAAATTTTCCTTACTCTTCACTATTCCATTCCAATGGATTCAGCAATCCATTGGATATCCAATAATCCAATTCAGTCTAAAATGGACTCTCCTATTTTTCCTGGTTTTCAGTGTTGCTTTTTCTGTGCATCACATCCAAATCTTTACAGCAATTTTTGTGCACAAAAGATTTGAACCATCATCGCATCACGGAAGATGTGAAATTTTGGAATCTTATTTTTAAGATAGTTCTATATTGGCTTAAAGATTTTAAAAAAATCAATCAAAGAACAACAACAGTAATTAAAAATAAAAATATAAAAACAAAAACATACAAAAAAAAAAACCTAAACTAATAAAAAAAACCAAAACCAAACAACAAAAACTACCAACACAACATCCCCACAATATTTTTTTTCCTTTTAGAGGCCATATTTTTTATTTTAGAATGTTCAGATAGTCTGTAGAGAATTACATCTTTTTACAGTCTTAAACAGAAGATACTGTGTAAAAAGGAAAAATATGGCTAATTTGTATACTGGTAAATACAGTTTCTTAAGTATATATGTGACATAACTTTAAAACCCAGTAGATTCCTCAGTGTGGTTTTATTTTTATTCACTTTATGACTTTAAAATGTTTCTAGTTAATGGGTTTTCCTCAGAGGAGTTTGGAATCCACTTGAGGTTAAATTTCCCTCCTTTCCACCATAGTTGAAACTACTCTTCACCGACTTAATGTCTCAGCAAAAAGCTAATATTTGCCACCCCAGACAAAGAAAGCAGCACTACTGAGTCTCCTATGACTCCTATGAGCCCTAAAATCTGCTTTTGAGGTGAAAGTCTCACAAATTTGAGTTAGGAAAGGCAGTAATGCTGGAAAGTGAGACAGTACTTTGGAATGATGTCAAATTGTGATGCATGGAGTGCTTGAGGTACACCTCCTCCATATCTGATTATCACTATAATTGATCTGTTGACAACTCTGTGCTTATTTCTAGATTTTCTTCAGTTACCCTTTAATTACTCTTCTGACCTAGTTAATTTACCATCACACTTAGCGTAGGCAGTTCTTCCTTGTGAAGATTCTGCTAAGATCAAGGATTTCTTAAGTTTGATGGTTCCATTGCTAGGACTGTTTAGGCAATAGCTATAGAATAACTCTGAAAAGATAGAAGATTGTCCTTTTCTGATTTGTCATTTACCAAAATGTAGCACATCATCAAAGGCTGTCTTACAAATAGGTGGATTTTGGTTTTGAGGCTAAAACAATGGGTGTAGGAAGATGAAAATAGGACAGGTCAGGCCTTTGGCTTTTTTTTGTAAATCCATTTGCCTTTATACTGAATGGACTTACAGTCAAAGTGTCTTTTTCCCCAATATACTTCTGCAGCTGGAGAGGCTGAGAGTATTTTTGGTTTGCTGAATCCTTTGAGAATTATTATATTTCTTAATTCAGCTTGTGTGGAAGGCAAATCTCTTTATTAAATACAAACCAAATGACCCTGTTTCAGGTGCCATCTACTAGACATTGTGTGATAGATCATTGTCATAAACGAATGGTAGGAAACTGTATTAAAAGCACACTTTCTTTTGTCACAAATAAGTAAAATTAAGTTTTAGGGTTTTTCATGATACACACTCTAGAATATGGAGGGAAGACAATTCTGTAATTTTTATGGGGGGCTGATATCTTCTCTAGAGATGTGTAATTTGCTGATGGAAACTGGTGTTACAGTGTTATAAGGACAAGTGTATCAAAATTGAGCTTAATAATATTTTTTTTAATACTCTAATTAATCTTTCTTCCTCAACTGGACAGTAACTGCTAGATAGTCGGCTCCATTACTCTCATTAACTGAGCCATAAGTCCAGCACCTGGGTTTTGTTACTATTTTTCAGTTATGATCAGACTGAAGCTGCACTGTTTGGTTTGTTTGTTTGAACTGTTTGATACTTTCTTTCAGATTTATCACCCACTCTGCAATACATGACTGCTGTTGGATTAGGGTCAGTGGCTGCTGTCTGCCTTATATTGTTCCTGTCATTCTCCGTGGCACGGTATGTGGTGTTGCTGCCTCCGGTTTTGCAGTCCTCTTTCATGTGTTTTTCTTTACAGATAGTTTGTCTTGACAATGTGCTTGGCTTAGGCATCTTGGTGGTTAAAAACTGTAATCAAGGGTGCTGTCAGTGGCTACTAATGCTGTCTGTTGTTGAACTGATGTCCTCTGTATCTTTGCAATTACTGGCAAAACATCTGAAATGTGTAGGGGTACCTTAATAAAGGAAGGATTTAAGACAGTGAATAGAACCAGGACTTTATTACAGAAGTGTTCTGATTTAATGGGAATTAAGTACATTAAATTTATATGCTGTCAAAATGTTGATGCACTTTGCTTATGTACTAATTTTTTTTCTTCCCAAATTTATTCAAAAGGTCTGAAAAGAATTGTTTTTCAGTAATGGTTGAACTTTACCTAAAAGCCATGATAAAAACATATTTAAAATTTTTAAGATATTTAATAATTTATGTTTCATGATCCTTGACTCATCAAGTTACTGACTCAAGCAGGGTCAGTAACTTCATAACTGTCTTTCTCTCAAAGGTAAAACAAATACGCAAGTTATGTAATTGTAAATGCCTGCATATATGTAAAACCTCTTCACTAAAAGCCATTTCTCTATTGTTATTTCAATGTGCATATCTGCAAGAATAGTCTTCTGATATATTTGAATATATATATATTAGAATACATATATTATACCCCTTGAAGGGTCAGGAGCTTCCAGCTTGGGGGCTATGAAATATAGCATTGATTGGTTAAGCTGCTTGTTTGGCATCCTGAAACAGAAGGAGCTAGTTGTACATAGGGCTGAAGAAAGGAGGTTTATTTAGATTTTTTGTGGTTGTCTAAATTTCAAATCAAAATCTTGCAATCAAAATTCTGAACTGAATGTTCCATAGTCTCCTTTTTCTCTTTAAATAATTAAATAAACATATCTCAGGATTCCTTTGGCAGTACCATGCAGTGGTAAACTTGAAATTGCAGTCTTGGTTGTTTTTGGGGATTTTTAAAACATTGTCAGAGTCAGCTTTGATATTTGAGGAAGGGGCTTTTACTGTCTGGATTTCTAAAGTAGCTGACTCCTGACAGAGGGCTTACTGCAGGAGGAACAGGTTCCCTGGGCTGTCATGGTGTGAAAGGCTTCTCAGTTATTTCAGTTTCTCTGGCAAAAATGTGGCAGAGGGATATTAGTACTTTTCAAACTGTGTCAAATCAATTAGGTTCATAGTGATAGGAGAATGATTTGAGGTATGAGACAGTACTGGAAGAATCATGTATGAGTATGAGCCACTTGTGAGAGAGTGCAGAGAAGACAGACTCTGAACTTCTACTTCAGCCTTCTTTCAAAAGGAGCAAGAGAAGATGAAATCCTTAGGGAGCTGGTTGAGTATATTTGACGGTGTATTGTAGGGGACAAGGACTTAATAAGTCAACAAGTATCTTTCAGGCCCTCAAATGCCATGTACAGAGAAATTATTGAATCTATTCTCCTGTTCTAAGGAATATTGGACAGAATCCTTGACAGAAATTAAAACTGTCCCAATCCATCAGCAGGTAGAAAAGGGAAATCGCAGATGTCAGTTGTAATAAGACCCTTCACAATAGTCACAAAGAAGCAGCTATAATATTTTAAATAAAAAATGTGCTTTTAGTTATAATTAGCCATCAGTTTAATGCATTTCTGAGTAAGAATGTGATTTGAAAAAAAACTCCATATAAAGTCAGCCTTCTGCCTCATCCAGTTGTAAAACCATGGTCCTGCTTTAGACACTGGTAGACAAGGTAGATGTGGCCTAGTAGGAGAAAAAGAGAGTGGAATTTGATGAGAGAGATCTGGGATCTATTTAATCTAACTGAGAATAGGGCATTCTAGTGGCAGGTTGCTTAGCCTGGCAGAGAAGATACTGCCAAGAAGCATGATATGCAAATGTACAAAATGCTACTGTATAAAGATCAACTTCCTCCTGTTGGTAGTGCCAGTGGCACATGTACCATCCATGGGCAGTATACCCGTGTGCTTCTAAACTGTAGGAGAGAGAGGCATGGGAACAGATTGCTGTGAATGCAGCTTCTGGGTGGTCTGCAAGAGGAGGTTAAACAAACTAGTCAGTAATGACATGGGTATGGCTGATCCTGCCATGGTGTCAGGTGAATGGTCTTGGATTATTTCTTGGGGTCCCTGTAAGCCTCTGTCACAAAGAGCCACTGTATTCAAGTGCTCACCAGCTTGCCACATGTCTGCTGTCTCAGGAATTATGTTTCCACAATGGGTCTGGGTGTGAATTCCTGCTAGTGTGGTCGCTGACAGCAGTTCCAACTGTTCCTCAATGAGTAAAAGTCTGGCACGGGATTCACAAAGTGAAGTCTTGACTCCTGATGTCCTTAGATTTTATATTATTTTAATAATTGTATTTTAAAATATTTATATTTATAATTTATATTTTATTATGTATATATTTTTTATAATTTATATATTAAAAAATGCATTAACCTATAGTTGCTATTATTAAAGTGGCTCATCATTCATACACCTTACTCCATTCCTCTTAGTTCTTTGCTTTCTTTTGTATGTGATGCCTATTCACATGTGTAAGGACAGTACCAGAACTCAGGATTTCTGAAGATCTACACTGGGCATCAATGTTGTTGATGCCATGGTTGACACTGGTCAGGTAATCATCTGGTGACCTATGGGAATGCTTCCTACCCATCTCACATGTTGTGATGACCAGCACTGTGTGTCTTCAAAAAATCTTCAGAAACGCTGTCATGTGTCTTATCAATATGAGTGATACAAGTTCCCCGTCAGGTCTATGCTTAAGTCTTGAATAATTTGTAAGATTTATTTTTTTTTTAACCAGATTTTTTCTGTCTCCAGTTCTTGTCTTCACAGCTCAGCACATCCCCCACCTGCTGCTGTAGCCTGTGAAGCTGTACATTTATCTACTACAGTAGACGTGGCACAAGCAGGGATTGCATCATCATTCCTAGAGACTGAAAGTGTCTCTCTTCTCTGATGGATTATTTCCGGAAGTCAGCAAAGAAAAAACATGCTCTTCTTTCAAAGCTAGCATGTGTCGGGTATCTGCATGTCACATATGTACTACAGCATGGGCAGTTTAAGTGTGTTTGTCACTGGAAGTGAGATGTTTATTGTCCTGCCTTTTTCCAGATAGTATGGTGTGTAAAGGAGAACCCTCCCTGACAAGCAGGTTATCATGCATCCCATGTGTTGGTCAGAGGCTTTCAGCTGTTCCAGCTGCATGAGCGGCTGATAATGAGTGATTGTATTGAACTTGATTACATTAATAATCCCCTGATCCAATTAAAACTATTTTGAGGATTAAATGCTACTTTAGATATCTTTGCACATATAAACTGGCCTATTGTGAACAAAAACAAAGACCTATCTTTATGCAAGATAAACTGCCTATTGTATTTCCGATTATAAAGGTGAACACTTCTGTCAGTCACTTACTGACAGTAATAATACATCAGTAACATGTACACTTGCTAGCCATGAAGTTGCCACATTCAAGTAGTGTCAGCAGCTGATGTGTTCCAGAGATATTGCAATCATTGCTCATAGCAATTAGCAGTAATTGCAAATAATATACCAATCTATAAAACTGCAGTTTGCTCAAAAGCTGCTTGCTTTAATGGCACGTGAAACTAATTTAAGGAAGGACCTTCCTGTGCTAAGCGCAATTTTGTTAATCTCTGTTCTATAATTACAGCTGAGTAAAGCCATTAAATCATTGTCTGGTTAATTGGTTGGTGTGTAACATCTGGTTAGAGTCACTTAATAAAGTATAATTAACCAATTTCCTATGACACACTCCCAGTTAATACATTTTTTTCTTCTGTAAGAAAGAATCAAGTGGCTTGGAATATTTCCACTCCTCTTCAGAAGTTGCTTTGTTATATGTTAGCAATCTGTTAACTGGTGAAATAAAAAAAAGCAGAAGTTTTAGTTTTTACTCCGTTTTGTGAGTTTTTTTTAAAAGTTATGTTTTGTGTTTTACCACTTTAAATAGATGCTACACATTTTTTTAATTTTTAAATTTCTAAATTGCTAATATTCTGATGCCTACTGCTCTTACAATTTTAGATGCTCTCTCTGTGACATGTAATTAGGGTCTTTTGGGGTTTAAAGCGCAACAGCGGATTTCATAGTTAGAAGCAAAGAAGAATTACAGCCAAAAAGAGTTTTCAATTGCTGCAACCAACTGAGAGTGCTTTTTTCAGGTCTGGGCAGATTCCATTTATGTTACCCAGCATTTACAGAGCTGTCCTTCAAGTTAATAGTTAATAGCTAAGTAAGAACACCTTTGTCTACAGTAGGGATTAAAAGTTGTTAGCATTTTCTGTTGCTGATTGACAAAAAATAACTAAACTGTTCATACTGGGAAACCATGCCTTAATTTTTCAGTTTCTTATATGACATTCATTCTCACACATTCCATGCCTAATTCCCTTTCTCAATGGAATAGATTGCAAGGTTTGGTATAGCAGTACCAACTGCACTACTTCGTTCTGATTCAGTCTCCTGCTGCTCTGGTCCTTGTGAGAGAGTTCACGAGCAGCTGTTCCTGTGTAAGGGAGAGCTGGAGAGGCTGGAAATTATTTAGAGAGACAGATGTGCCATCCTCTGTGAAAAAAGCTGAGCTTCTTGTTATGCTTTACAGAGACCAGCAGTGTGCCAGTATACTACATTTGATCAGGACCATAAAGTCCATCTTGTCAGTGGGTATAATTGGAAAACTGGAGGTCTTTGTGTAACCTTCAGCAAGTTATTTCTTTTCTATGTGCCTCTTATTTACTTAAGTTGCTTTTTCATAATGTAAAGTTTTCAGAGCAAGATTCTTTTCTTACTAAACATCCACACTTCTGCTGGTAGTTAGATAACATATTTAATGACTCATTTGGACATCTCCACACAGCGTAGCTTCTTAATATCCAGGAATGGCATCTTTAATTTTCCACAACAGTTACAGTTCTGCAAGTTTCTCTTATTCCCTCTGTCTCCCTTGTCATCCTTGGCAGATCTACCTCTGGCTGTAAGTATATCTTCATCTGTGTGTACTTATCTTTCTTCCACCTATAACTGTTTCAATTAAATGTAAAAATACTAGAAAACTAGTTTAACCTTGCCATACTCAGATAGATGTGCAAATGTTGACAGTTTTTTGTTAGACCCTTGCTCTACTGCTCCCAAGCTTTTCTGCTGAACTAATTGCAATGCCACAACCACACTCTTGTGTTTCCAGAAGTTCTAGAGACATTTCTAGTGATCCTAGGCACTGCTGTGCCTTCAATTAACACTGAAATTTGTCCTTTTCTTCCAATTTTTTCTCTGCTTTTTCAGATAGGTGTTCCATACCCAGGCCCAGTAAGGTTAAACAAACTGAATCTACTCTGCTTTTACTCCTGATCTATACCACTTCACATATTGAAATATGTTATATTGAAATGTGCTATATTGAGAAACTCATTGCTTTAGATCCATACCAATGTCTGCACTATATGCAAAGTGTTTTAATCCTCTTTAAAGGAAATGGAAAATTTTTAGTCCTGGATGAACAATTCTTGTAAGCTTAAGTGAAATTATTTTTACTATTTTATTTAATGATTGTAAAGTAACACAGAGTACTGTAAAAGTCCAGCACTTATGCATTGTGATTGTGATGGCATGTCAAATGAAAAAGATTTTATTGTAATATACATTTTCTACTACATGTCACTGATGGGTCCTTTAAACCTTTTGGTGAGATTTCCTTGTTTTGGCCATGATAAAGACAGCCAGAAGCTGGCCAGGCTTGTTTTATTTCAGTATTTATATTGACAATCAATTGTACAAACAAGGCCAGATTCATGGTTTTAAGCCCTCAAGTTCATGGAAATTAAACTCCTCACAGCCACTCCCTCCCTCCCTTCTTGCAGTCCAGTGGAATGGGGAGGAAAATCAAAGTAAAACTTGAATTTTGAGGTAAGAACAATTTAATAATATTTCAATTTAATAATTGAAAATAAAGTAAAATGCAATAATAATGGCAAAATTTAATAGTAATAATAACAATAGTAATAACAGTAATAATAGTGAAAAGAGAAAAATAACAAGTGATGTGCAATGCAGTGCTCACTGTCCACTGACACATGCCAGATCCCCGCTCCTGAATCCAGACTGTGCGAGCTTCTGGGTGACTCCCCGCAGTTTATGTACTGGGCATGATGTTCTGTGGTGTGGAATATCCCTTTTTCCAGTTTGGGCCACTTGTCCTGGCTAAACTCCCTCGCAGTTTGTTGGGTTTTTTTGCATACCTACTCACTGGCAGAGTATGAGACAAGGGAAAAAAAAGAGTCCTTGATTAAGGATAAACACTATTTAGCAAAACCCAAAACATCGGTGTGTTATCAACACTATTCTCATTCTAAATCCAAAACACAGCAGTGTAACAGCTACTGAGAAGAAACAAATTCTACCCCAGCTGTAACCAGGACAGCCAGCCTGCTCCTTATGTTTGTGTATGTTCTCAGGTTAAAGCACTCTCAATCACCGCTTCTGTTTCCAAGGTCTTGCACTATCTTGTGAGTCCATTTCATATTCAGCATGGTTCAGCCAGAATCCAGCATAGGCTCACAGGTCTCTAGCTCAGATGAGCGGATTCCTGTTCCTAGTTACAGAGATGCTAGGAAATTATGGAAGTCTGTGAAAAATCTAACTGTTTCAAATCTTTCAAGGAAGAAACTGGTGTCCTTGAATCCTGTACTGAGTAGATTCTGTGAAATTAGTTGGTGATCTCAGTGCTGAGCTCTAATGTAAGGGAGTAAGTGTCAGTGTTGCAAAAGAACGGTAGTTCCTAACAGCATATGAATGACTCTTTGGGCAGCACAGGCATTCTCTTTTCATTTCTGGCAGAGCTGAGGTCTGAGGAGTCAGAGCAAAATGATTGAACTTGTGGTAGCTATTATGGAGCTATTTCCATTTTGAAGTTAACAAAATGGCACCATTACAGTCACAGAAGAAAAAGGGGAGAGTTGCTCTGGAGTTATCTTTTTCCTCCTCCTCTTCAAATTTTTGTGTGTATTTTTTTCCACAAATAGTGCCTTTGTTCCTGCAATCTCACAGTGGAATAAGGAACAGCAACCCTTTATTAGTGTTTTCCCAACCTTGAGGCAGCAAAATTTATGCAGTTCAGTTGCAGTTCATGTTTTATGTTCCCTGGAGTCCTTGTTGGATTACTATGTTGTACATTATACATGTATTATATGTGTATGTCTGTGTGTGCAGATATAGCATATTCTGTTCCACTGCACCTAACGAACTGAAGAGACAGCATTTCCCCTGAAGGGTAGAGAACTTGGTTTCCACCCCAAGACTATAAAAAATACTAGTAGAATGAGATGCAACAGAGAAAGAACTATAGAAATACAAGAAATTCTTAATAGAAAGTGATTCCCAAAGGCCCAGATTTTCCTGAGCAGCTTTTAGCATGGAATATTTTAGCCTGATTTGGTAACAGTTAATATAAAAGTTGCTCCTGCAGCCATCCTTGGTGAAGTGAAAAGACAGCAGTCTGGTGAAGATGTTCCAAGCTAATGACCACAGATCAGCTGTGCCAATACACTGAACAAAGACTAATATAACAACAAAGGGTACAGTTAGTGAAAACCAGCTCTCAGCTATCCCTTTTGACTAATGTGTAAAATGGCTGTCTCAGTTTTAATCTTAACTAATGAAAATGTTAGGAAGTTTCATTTTGGTTTGTATTCCTGTGAATTCTGACCCATTCTGGGTATTTTATTTTCATGCATTCATTTGTCCAGTCATTTCCTCTAACCGGGAGTATTCCTTCAAGCACAGAAGAAGAACAGATCACTAGTAGATCTGTAGTAGATCAATTTGTAGCAATTTGGCAACTGTAGCAATTGTAAATATCTGCTGAGAGGCACAGGGACAAGACAGGAGTGCTTAACACATTCTTTCCCTATGATTTCAGTGTGGATAATGAGCCAAGGTGGAGTCTCAGGACCCGTCAGTACCCTGACCTGGAGGACCGTGACTGAGAATGACCAGCTGACCCTGAAGTTGTGCAGGATCTGATGCTCCAGTTGAGCATCTACAAATCTGTGGGGCCTAATAGAATTAGACGATACCGTGGCAAAAGCTATCTTGATTTTTGAGCAGTCTTGGGAACCCAGAGACCTCCCAGCTGATTGGAGGATTTTCTAAAGGGGCAGGAAAGAGGACGAGGGAAACTATAGGCCTGTCACTTTCACTTCAGAGTTTAGTATTCATTAGGGGAAAGTCCTGCTTACCAAACCTGATTTCATGACAAGGTAACCCACCTAGCTGATCAAGGGAAGTCAGTTGATGCCTTCTTTATGGATTTGAGTAAAGCTTTCAATACTGGTCCTCCGGAGAAAACATCCGGCTCATAGCTGAATAACCACATTACGTGATAGGTGAGCAATTGGCTGACAGGTCAGGCACAAAGGGTTACCTGAGTGGGGTGACATCAGCCTGGTGAGCCATCACTAGAGGGGTTCCACAGGGCTTCATCCTCAGCTCTGTGCTCTTCTACAGCTTCATGAAGGACTTGGACAGACACTGATCTCTTCTCTGTGGTAACCGGTGACAGGACATGAAGGAATGGCCTGAAACTGTGTCGGGGGTTTAGGTTGGATATTAGAAAAAAGGTTTTTCACCCAGAGGGGAGGTTGGCCACTGAACAGGCTTCCCAGGGAAACGATCACAGCAGCAAGCATGACAGAATTCAACAGAAATTTGGAAAATCCTCTTGGGCTCATGGTGTGACTCTTGGAGATGGTGTGTGGGGCTCTGCATTGGACTTGATGATCCTTGAGGGTCCCTTCCACTCAGCATATTCTGTGATTCTGTGAAAGAGTGCTTCAAAAACAGATCTGTATTTCTGCAGTATACCAATCTCCAACTGGCAAA